TGTGTGTGTGTGTGTGTGTGTGTGTGTGTGTGTGTGTGAGAGAGAGAGAGAGAGAGAGAGAGAGAGAGAGAGAGAGAGAGAGACGATAACTCTCCGACCTCGCGGCTCGCGCCTCGCGCCATGCTACTTCCATGGATAGGATGAGCGACATCCAATGAATCTTCGGCTAGAACATGGAAACATACACTACCTGGTTGAACCTTCGGCTTGAACATGGAAATATACAAACCTGGTTGAATATGGCCGACTGCGTCATGCTACTTTCCAACCCCTCCCCGTCGCGGCGCGAGAAAAAACGGCACCGCCCCCCGTCACGACCGCGCCCGTCCCGGCTACCGGCGTCGCGGGTCAGAAAAACGCAAACTGGCAGTGTATCTTCCCCACCTGCCGGGTGACATTCGGATCAGGTAGCGTTCTCGGGCCCGGGCTCGGCCCTTTTTCGACGCCGTCACTTCCCGACACGGGCACACCCTCGGTTCCCCCTTGACCGCTGCACAGGAGCGGACCCGCGCGGCTCCACCCGGTTTCTGTTGGGCCCCATGCGAGGACCGCTTCTTCCTTTAGTAGTATAGAGATACCCAACTACCCGCATGGGACTGAGGTGGACTGGGCAAATTATTCATATACCCAACTACCCGGATTGCTGAAATTATGCTTATAACCAGCAGCCGTTGGGCCACAACGGTGCACTCTGTGATCACGAGCATAATTTCGTGGTGCGCCATCCAAGTCCCGCCACTGGGTGTGCGTACACCCACAAATTTGCCAGCCCGGTTTCTGGGCATGAGTATAATTTCGTGGTCGGGACCAAAGGCCCTGGGGAACTGGGTACGCCACAATTTCGCACAGGGGAGAGGTTGGGTATAGTGCATAGTTGAACAGGTTCCGGCTATAGATGCAAGTTGGGGCTGTGACAGGGTATAACGGGTATTCCCATCTTTAAGTGGGGTACGGCTGCAATTTTCCCTTTTTTGGGGGGGGGGGGGGGGGGGGGGGGGGGGGGGCTACCTTTTGCGTGAGGGAGATTTTGTTCTGTCGCTCGCGAAGGACAATTCGACGAATCATTAAGACACCTCTTAGAAACAAAATGCACCTGACCGTCAATACGGTACAATTAAAGGCCTATCCATTTTAAATATTTTTGTAACGAAAGACAGTAATCTCGGTAGGAAGCACAAATGACTCCTTTGATACTGATTTGAGAGAATCATCCTAAGGCTCATTTTCGAGTTACACACATGTCTCTCTTCCAAATCAAAGAAGGCTTGACCTTGACAGACCATTCACATGTGAGGAACTGAAAGTGGCATCGGATCAAATTCCCTT